TTTCTTTATTGTTGTGAATATTGCTATTTCTAAATAAAAACATTAAAGAAAATAGTGACATAAAAAAGTTCTGTGTTCTGACTGTACCCAGTGCATGTATAAACAAAAACAAACAAACAAATAAAAATAAATAAAAAAAATGCCTCTATTAAAAAAAAAAAAAAAAAAAGTTCTGTGTTACTTTCTGGAGATCTGTGATAGAAAGGTTAACTTTCTTTCTTGCAGAAGACAGAGAACCAAAGACACAGAAAAAAAAAGGAAGCAGTTAAAAGGAAGAACTTTGTAATCTCTCCAGAATTTCTTGATTACTTCTCATCTGGTCTAATTTTTCTCTGATGAGAAGCTGTACTTGAGAGTAATAAGTACCGCATGAACTAACTACATCACACTTGACTGTCTGCATAATGGCAATGGTGAAAAGGAATCAAATGGATTTAGGTTTCATCAACCTGCAGCTATTGATTTTTCAGCTTTCCCATGAGCAGCAAAATGGAGTTAGCAAAAACCACTTTTTGCAGTCAAATGAATGAACAGCAAGGGAATATCAAATATGCTTGAATAGAATATGCATTTCTTTAAACAGCTGGCATTTTGCCTGTCTTATTCAATAGTAACCACCTTTACTTCACAAATGTAACAGTGAACAAAGGAAGGGGTTTCCTGAGCCCCACACTACTGTTACATCTGACTGTTATCTCACCTGAAGTCCACGGAACACCAGCTCCTTTATCTTTAAGTGTGTGTGTGTGTGTGTATACAATTAGAAAAAGGAAAGGAATAACTTCTTTAAAACACCGTTTTCTAAAAGAGGTTTAGGAATAGCTATAATTCAGTTAGATTCTGAATGCCCTTTTGAATATTTCTCTGACACCTCATGACTATAAAAAATAAAATAAATTAGACCTTTCATACATAGCATATGCCTGTCCCATTATATTTTGAGTGATATATTCATCCACATTCTGTGATATTTTAAAAATGACTGTGTACAAACCAACAGCAAAATGGTTGTCTTCTTAAATTTCACTCTATGTTTTATGGGTTTTGGAAAGTAAGAGAGGTTTTTGCTTCGTTTTGTTGCAGGTTGAGTTTGGCTGTGTGAAATTCTCCTTTGTCATTTCTTAAGTGTTCCTTTCTTTTTCTGACATTCTATTCAAATTATTTTGTTCTTATTTTGTTCTTAGAAACAACCAGGGTCATTCATCTATTAGTTTCAAGCTTATCACATGAAATTAAACACCAGGATATGCAGTAATTACAAATCACCTCACCCTGGAATATGGGATAATGACAGAGTCCTTGAATCAGCAGAGGTTAAAGCTGCATGTTTAGAGCACATTTGTATAAACCTGAGATAGGCTTCTGATTACAGATATTGTATGAATGACACTACCATTAAAAGTTATATTTAATCAAGCAGAAAGTATTTATTTTTAGCACTGTGACCTTAGAATTGTACCATGTCAGTATAAGAGTCTCAGGTAAAATATAATGCTCAAATCCTTTTCTCAATCTTATATTAAGTTCAACTACTTTTCAAGAAACCGTTTAGTATTAGTAACAATTTGCAATGTGGGTAAATTCTTAGGTATTAAAATAAGGGATTGTGGTAATTGTGAGTTATTGCAATCTGAAAAAAGATGAAGCCTTTTCTAGCAAATGGCTAAAGAAATATAAAGATATAAAGCCTGAAAGTGTGAAAAAGGCAAAAATAAATAACTATTATTCTTCGGTATGGGTCTACGAGTGTCTCCTAAGCATAATACAAAAAGCAGATAATAATTGTAACTGAGTCAGCTAATAAAGTGTAGAAATATTCATTGTAAAAATTTGTATAGAATAATATATGAGAAGACATTTCATGGATACTTAGTTGTCATTACAGCAGCCACTCCTGAAGGAAATTGGAATAGAAAGAATGTAGTGGATTTATGGCAGTATCTCTAGGGGCACTATAAACATTATTTCCTAATCTTTATTCTAGTTTCCTAACAGTAATATAACTCATATCCCTCTCCTAATTTCTCCTCTTTCTTTCCCAATACCAACCCAAAAGTATTTCCCACACTCACATTTAAATTCCTGAGTGGTGCCACAGGTCAAAGGGTTCTGATTAACTCTGCTACTATCATCAATAGCTGGTATCAGCCTCTATATCAAACCACACAGGCCCAACTACAAAGATTTACATGAGAAAATTTGTACATGAAATAAAAGGGAAATTGGAATCAATATAAGAAAAGTATACATTTTAGAATTCTCATAATGTGTTAAAGAAAAGATTATGATGAAGAATAAGATAAAGAAACACACTGAAAAGGAAAGGAAATTAATTAAAATGCATGAAAAGATTAGGTCTGGAAAACATTTTGGAAAGTAAGTAAAACTTCCAAAGAAATATAACAATAAATTTAGAGATCCTATGAAATGAATAAATGATACAGAAAATAAAATCAGAAAACTGAACCTCACATAGAATATGGAGGAAAGACACAAGGAGGTAAAATTAATAGTGAAAGGTTGCCAGAAATGTTGCAATGGCCATGGGAAATATCGAAGTGACCTGAACTATATATACATGTAACTGGAGAAAACAAAAATCATACTGGTCAAAGATTTCTAAACAAAATTCAGTAGTGGATGATCATTTTTATCTAATATTGGAAATAGATCTCTAAGGAAATAGAAATTCCAGTATTTGCAAAGATGGCATGGTGATATTAATACTATGGAATATATAAAAAAAAAACACAACTCACCAGTAACATATTAAAAGACAATGAAAATCTGTAACATGAGCACTTAAATGCCTTCTTTAAATAATTATTGTGTATATAATACAACATTTGACCTAAACCTTCAGTCTGAGAAGTAAATTCTAAAAGAGAAAACAGCCTCAAATTTTCTAAGAAATTAAAAATAAAAATCTAATAAACTACATACATATATGAAACTAGAAAGAGAAGGGGGGAGGTAACAAGAGACATAATTGGTCATCTCACTCAAGATAAAGAATAAAATCAAACATTCAGGAAAAAAAAAGAATTGAAAGAAAAAAATGAAGGCAAACTTAAAAAAATTATAATAGAAATAGAAAAAAAACAGCAGAATAAATTAAACAGTTCAGGGAATATTTCTTTAGGGGATATAATACAAATAAAGTCTTTGCAAGTATAATTAAATCACTATAAGCAATTAGGAATGCTATGACTGATTTGAAAACACAAATAAAATTCTCAATTCAGGGTATATTGTATGCATATACATAGTGAAATCTGAGGAAGTAGAAATTCCTGGGAAAGTATAATTTCACAAAATCTCTTAGAAACAAAACATAACAAGGTTTCAACACTGAAGAGCCATGGTAGACTGAAATAGTAAAGTACCTAACTTTTAAAATTTCTGGGCACAGGTTTCCATAGCAAGTATTTCAAGTTTTTGCAATAGCTAACGTAATGCAATATCCCCCAGAATAGCATAAATATTTATAAAACCAGTAATTTTTAAAATTCTAATACCAAATCTTACAAATTTCAAGAGAACCTTTAACCATATTCTACTATATATATGCAAAAGTCTAACAATTAACTAGCAAATAGGATCTTTGTTATTCAGATGGTTTATGATTAAGAGTAATTACCATCAGTTAAATTTTGATATGCCTCAAATATCAATATCAGCTATCACTTCTCCTAAGAGAGAAGTGATTAAGTAAATCAGAACTCTTGTTTCTCTCTTCCTTATATGTCATATTCATTTTCTTACCTGAAGTTATGAAATAAAATCCATTTTTTAAATCAATCCATTAATTATTTTCATTTTATTCCCCTCTCCCTTTTTCTCTCACATATCTTTGGATAGAGTATTTATTTTAAGTGTACAAGCATACCTTATATTAATGTACTTTGCAGACACTGTCTATTTTTGGGGGGGAATTAAGGTTGTGGCAACCCTGCATGGAGCAGGTCTATTGTACCTTTTTTTTTTCCAATTGTGAAGCTCGTTTCAAGTCCCTGTCTTACACCTTAGTAATTCTCATTTCATTTTTTTCAGTATTATTCCTATTTGTTATGGTGATCCATGATCAGTGATCTTTAATGTTATTTTGTAACCCTCCACCAGTTGCTGAAGGCTCAGATGATGGTTAAAATTTTTTAGCAATAAAGTATTTTTAAATGCAGGTATGCCAGAAGAGGTGTAATCAATTCTTCAAAACTTGAGGATACTGTATTTTTAGTTAATATGTGAGTTTCTCCAAGCCAAACTAATACCTGTGGGGGATATGTGACTGGACTTAGGACTTTGTAATGTTTTATAGTATACCTCACTATATGCACATTTTCTTGAGGTTGGTCAAAGAAATAGTGTGATTCTAACTCACTGTGAGCAATTTATCCTAGCACAGGAGTCTTAATTGCTAGGGGTCAAGCACACTAAGAAGTTGTAAGATCTTGACCTGCACCCACTAATATTGTAGCTATGGACTCATGATTCCTATTAGCAATGTATCTATTCTTTATTTTTTTTTTTTTTTTTCAAGTTTTTTTAAAAATTTCCATAGTGGTAGATACTCCAATGGCTTTTAATAGTCCAACTTGTTAGTATTTAGATTTTGAAACACTTTGGATCAAATTTCTGTCCTATCTGATTTCCAAAGTCCCTTAGCAGATTATGCTGTGACAATAAGCAGTTGTCATCTTGAGATTTCAGATTTTGCAGGGAGGAAGATGGGAACATATATTTCCCCTGGTTGAAACAATCCTTCCTAATTCAACCAGACTTAATGTTTCCAGCTGTTCCCCAAACCTGTTAAGACCTTCTGAAGGCACTACCTTGCAGGTAAGTTCAGCTACAACCACAAATATGGTGACCCATTAAGTCTCACCACAAAAAATTGGGAGTTCCCCACAGCCCAATTTTCCACCTTGAAGTATCAGGACAAAGTACTTTGAAAAGCTCAAAACACAACACAAGTAGACTTTGATCAGAATAAAACTTACCTGAGGTCCTGGAGAACAGCTGAAGAGGCAGCAAACTGAAATGACTCCTGTTTCTGGGTGCCATCCTGTAATCTTGAGCAGTTGTCTTTGGGTCCCATCTTGTCTCCAAAACTGTCAAATGACAAAACTAAAACTATTTAGTAACAAGTTTTGACTTTTTTTAAATCAAGGACAAACAACTGAGGGATTAGGAAAGTATAACCCCTCACAAACTTTGGTGAATTCTTCCTAAGATCAAGGATTTCCTTATCAGGATAGACAGTCCTATCTTCTAGGGTAAGGTAAGCAAGCCAACGCTGAACTGGAGGGTGATGACTGGTGTTTTTTAGATGTTCTTGACAATAAGTTTCTTCCTAAGTGCAGGCTGATTTAGGTTGAGCTTTGTGACCTGGGCTAGACTAATCAGATCACCCCCATCTTGCGGGATCCACTCTGATTTACCTTTATCAGTTTTAAGAAGTGATAAAGGAATGAACAATTTGAATATAGACTTTTACGAAATCTCCTATGTTCAGCTCTCAATCCCTGATTCATCCATGACATAAGATTCCAGGAACCATGGAAATAATTCTTCATATCAACCATTTCCCCTGAGGCACTGTCATAAATCAGCTAAGGGCAGAGCCATGATCACCACTGCTGTGGTTTCTTCTTGTTTTATTTTGTCCTAATGAGGTTTCTATATTCTGAATTCATATTTTAATGGGTTTTCATAAGAAAAGGAAATAAATGTTAATGATCGATCCTACATGTCTAACCTGAAACTTCAAATAAGTGAACCAGAAGGACGTAATCCTTTAAAATATATATTGGTTTTGTAATATTTTGAATATAAATGATCAATACAAATTGGTATAAATGGGTCAACATTAATTTTATGCATAACTCACAATAATCATTGATTCAACTAGTGTGAATCAATCAATAACCCTATACAGGCCAAGCAAACTTTCTCTTGCATGAAGTTTAGAATTGAGTCCATCTTTTATCAAAATCTATTAGCAAATTTGGGAAAGAACCACATCATGAGGTTTGAAATGACTCATTTTTTTTTCTTTTACCATATTGTTGTTAAGAAGTATTTGTTTTCATATTATTTAGTGTTTCTCCTAGAAATAAAAAGATATATATATATACAATTAATTAATGCTCAGTTTAGCTGATTCCATTTCATTGAAAATTTAAACTTATGCATTATACTTTAAAATTTAATTTAAAAATAAAATTCAGCTACATACTAAGGATAGGTTAATATTTCACAAGTATATGTTTTTAAAAATTACGTTGTCTTAAAAACTTTTTTTACAAATCATTGAAACCATATTTTGACTGAAAGCAAATAAGCTTAGACTTCAAAGGATTTACTTCGGAAGTTAAAAGGTCCACTTAGGAAGTAAAAACCCACAATGCTTTAATGGAATTTAAACATAGCAAAACCTCTTCTCCTCCAAACTATCATTAACTGGTATGAGGCTTTTTTGATGAAGCTTAAAAGACTTCAATAAATTCCCACAAGCAATTTAAATGAAAGAAAAAGTGGTCATCTGAATTTTAGAGCATTATTTTCTTGTTTAATTTCATATAATAATGCTCAATTATTTTTACAAAATTTGTTGTTTGCTGTAACTTGACACAAAATAAAAAACAATGATGTTATTTATTTAATACTAACAGTCAATAAGGAGTGAAACAGGAAAAGCAGAATATGAAACTTTAAAAATATATGCCTGGAATTCACTTCAAAATAATTTTTTTCTGATTATTATAATCAGGAGTGTCTTCCAAACCATAAATATCAGTTTCTAAAAATCACTTTGTGGGAGTATTTTCAGTCGTGAGACTTACAGACTTTTTGAGGGAAAATTAAGTAAAACAGAACCATGTGCCTACACTAAGATAAACACACACATAAATACAAAAAGTTTCGTGAAATGCAGGCAAGATGGTGTCAGTGTGCAGATACTGGGCTGACTTCCTCCAGATACTTAGAGTGAAACTGCTATAAAACAAAGACAACCACCACATTACACACTAGGAGCACTGGTCCAGCAGGCAGGGGTAGGGGAAACTTTTAGGAAACTGTGTTTAGAGTGATAACAGAACGGTAAAAGCCACAAGAGGGAGAGACAGATACTTTTCAGAGCCCATTAAAGCTACTGACTTCAGAGCAGCTCCTGAGACTCAGCACTCCACTGGGTAAGGGTAGGCACAGCCTGCATGCAGGAAGGAATTGCTCTGTTGGACATCAAGTTATTTAAGCACTCCACTTCTTTAACTTTCATCACCACTTTTTATTTTTTATGCATAGGAAATTTGTTTTTTTAAAAGAAAATGCAAAGAAGAAAGTTATAATTTTTCATACTCCCCACTCCCCAAACAAAATGTCATTATTTTGTTAGTATGTTGTCACAGTGTCACTTATTTAAGATTCTATTGTTTTGATCAGGATTTATTATTTCATCTCAAATTAGTTTTCCATATACACATGAGTGTATTTCTATGATCTAGGTCTATATAGAAACTCTCTTCAGTCCCTTTTTCCTATGTATCTTGCGGATGTCAAATCTTCCCTGTGTTAGTCAGTCTAAGTTTAGAGTATATTTATAGTATAGTTTTGAATACCTGAAAATACCAGTTTGTGCACATTGCTCTTTTTTCTAGAATGCTTTTGGTCATTCTTGGTCTTTTTTAGTGCAAATTTTGGAATCAAAGTGTTGAATTCAATGTAAAATTCAATGAAACAAACTATATTGAGTCTTAATTAGTCTATCAATTTAAGTATATAACTTGTTAACCTGTATAATCCTTGGACTTGTTTTATTTCTTTAATATCTTATAGCAAACTTCTATAATTTTCTTCATACAAATTTTACACATTTTAAAGATGATTTATTTCTACTTTTGCTATTGTAAATGGTCATTTTTCATTTTATCTTACTAAGCATTGTGCTAACTCTTTGTTCCTAGATTATAGAAAGGCAACTGACTTTTTTTTTATTTTGAATCTTGCTAAATTCTCTCTTTAGCTTATTAATTTATAAACAGATTTTATGGACTATTCTCCGCAGATAAACATATCATATAAATAATAAATGCTCCTTTCCATTCCTTCATCTACCTAGCTTTGTTCTTTGCTTGCTTGCACTGGTAACTGTCTAATTATTATGGTTAATTAGGAGTAGAGAAAGTGGACATCCTTGTATTGCTCCTGACATTAAAAAGTAATGCTTGCAATTTTTTCAGCAAACAAATGGAATATTTGCTAATTCTTTTTGTTAATGTATTGTACTCAGTTAAAAAGGACTTACCATTTCTGTTTTGCTAAAAAATTTACAAAGAATAAATTTGGTTGTACATTTTCCATCATTTAGCAAGATGATAGTGAACCTTATTTTTTTTCATATGTATGTTAGAATACATTAATCATTCATAGAACGTCTATCACCCCAAGCAAAAGTCATCTTTCGCCCCAAGTGAAAAAGAAAAAAGAATTATTCTCTCCAAACGTTACTAAGATTTGCAAGCTTTCCTTGTTGTATACTGAAATTTAATTTTCATTAAGTTATTAGGGAATTGTTTTATTTAGGGTTTCTAATTCAGTTCTGCATCTTGGGGAGAACAGCAGCTTTATCTTCTGTTCTTCATGCTATTGCAGTGATTAAAGATAACTTCAAGTCCCGGGGTTTGTCAGAAAGAGGCTGAAAACTAGCTTAGGTGTTCACTTTCTTATCAAGCTTTCTGGTTCAAATTTATTTTTAATCAAGTCTATTTATCTCTTTGATAAATTTCAACAATGCACTAAAAAGATTTTTAACTCTTTTATTTAGCACATAGCCCTGATTTTGTTTTAATCAAAAGATCTCCAATCTGTCCTGTGCCCAATGTGGAACAACATTGACCAAAATGCATTCATATCTGGTTTTTACTACAGAAATTTTTATCACTGAAACTCTTAGCATCAAATTTTTTAGCAGATATAACAAACTATTCTAGTTCTTATTTTAATTGCTGCAAAATTCCCAATTTGGCCACTTTCTCCTTCTTGAAGCACTTTATTTATATTTAAAGATAAAGCCCTGTTTTCTCTTATACTTTTGCTGTTCCTGATCAGACTCTTTCAGGCACTGTTAGAGAGGCTGGATTTTGAGGTTAGACCCTTGAGGATTATCTTTTCACAGTTTATCCCTAAGTCAGCACAATAGTCTCAAAGATTTAATATTCTGGAGGTTAGTAATGGTAGCAATGGATTTCAATTTGCACTTCCCTGTGGTTAATGAGTTGAGAACTTTTCATATGTTGATTGCCCATTGGATCCCCTCTTTGTAATGCCCATGGAATCTTTCCTTAACAATCAACTGCATTCTACATTTTTTTGTTTTGGCAACTTAGATATCATGTAGTGTCTATATAAATCTCTGTCAGTGTGAATATTGCACATATATTCTCCCAGTCTATGTGTTACTTATTCATTTCCTCAATGATTTCTTTTGATAAACAGGTCTTAAAGTAGTGCCACTTTATTTTTTTCTTTTTTTAGCACTTTTATTATCTAGTTAAAAACAAGCTCTGCTTATGCCAAGGATACTTATGATCTCTTCTGGAAGATCTATTTTTCTGCCTTTCAAGTTTACATTTGTTTTCCATTTGGAACCAACTGATTAATTTATCGTTAAGTATAAGATTTGTGTTTCTTTCATGTATATCCAGTTGGCCCATGAGTATTACTAAAAAGACCATGCTTTCTTATTTTCACCACAGGATAAATTAGCTATATCAGGACAGTCTACATTTTTAAATCTGTTTCTCATTGTTTTATTATTTCCACTTGTCCAGACTTCTAAACCTATGCCAAAACACACTTTTCATCATTGTCGTTAATGTGTATCTTGTTTAAGATAACATAAGTCTTCAGCTTTATTATTTTCTTTAAGTTTGCTAATTAGTTTTTGCTATTTATTTTTTCTTATTGAGATATAATTTGTATATGCTAAAATGAAAAGATCTTTTGATTTTGGTGAATTTTAACAATTGTACACATCCATTTCAGAATAACCCAAAACAAGATCATTTACTAGAATATTGGCATTATATTGCCAATAACTTCTGATTTT